ATTCAATTGATTGAGATAAAATGCAAATGTCAAAGTAAATAATATATTTAGAATTTAAATTTTACTTGCCAATATTTGATTTCATATATATTATAATTAGAAGTGACGATAGATCAAGTGATTTGATGATCATTCAAGGTCGTCATTGTTATTTTCTAAATTGATGCAATGTTCGCCTTTAATGGTAAACTATTAACGGTAAAGTGAAGAGACAATATGTTTAAAAAAAAAAATCAAAACCAAACACTTTATGTTAAAAATCAGAAATCAAGCACAATGAGCATAAATAAAACGGGGAACATAGTAAAAAAAACTCAATAATGTCATCCCCTCAAAGCGTAAAGCATGTCTAGCTAAAGAGTGAGCAATCATATTACGACTATGAGGCACAAAACGGAGAACTGCAAAAGGCATAAGGTGTAGCAGGGTGCAGTTCTCTTCAACAATGAAGAGACAAATATGTTAACATCATTATTTCAAAGTGTACATCTAATTACATTCTCACATCACCTCTACAAGAGAGGTAGACAATAATACAATCTAACATCGATCAATTCCACAAGAAAATTGTGAAGTTTTACTTAAACTTTGTAAACTTATAAATGTAGCTTTATATTTTTTTTTTAAGGTGGTGATGATTTAAATTCTAAGTGTACAAGTTAAAACCAAAAAAAAAAAAAAAAAAAAAAAAAAAAAAAAAAAAACCATCAAATATCTCTAACATTAGGTATCCATTGTTCTAAAAAATAATTATGTCACAATAATATTATGATCAAATGGATGTTCTAAAAAAGAAAGACTAAAAGTGAACTGTTACCTAGGATAAAAAAATAAAAATCAAGTCATACTTTTTTTTTCTCCCCATAATGAGTTTCAACAAAGCCTTTTTAATTCTGTATGAGCTGAATACATTATGAAATTGGTTAGTTTAGGGATGAACATAATTATGAGCTTAATATAAATCTTTTTCCCGCGTGCGTAAATAAATCATTTTGGAAGTCGTGGTTACGTGGGTACATGTCGGACCACAAGAAATTAAAGGACTCCGTAATTTATTGGTCGATAATAAATGATGGGTGTAGCTCTAGTTAGCCTGATTCACGTGTTAAAGAGCTAGTGGCTTCAACATGTTGAATGATTGATTTTTTTTTCTTTGAAAAAAAAAGAAGAAAATGATACTTTTTTTCTCCTATGTTATGTTGTTTGTTTATAGCATATTTTTTTTGCTGTGTTGTATATTTAACCACTTTATTCCCTCAATTATTTTTAAAGTGATTATTTCTTCTCATCTCTGTTAAATAAATGTTTGAACGGTCAAAATTAAAAGTAAAAATGACATTTCACTTATTATTATTTTTTTGAATACACTTATTATTATTATTATTATTATTATTATTATTATTATAGAAGGAGAGGTCGTTCATATTTGCCGTACGTGAACGTGAACATATTATTGAAGAAGAAGTGAAATGTCATTTTTACCCCTAATTTTGATATCCCAAACATTTATTTAGCAGAGAGGGAGAGAAATAACCACTTTAAAAACAATTGAGGGGATAAAGTGGTTACATAAACAACACAAGAGAAAAATGTGCTATAAATAAACAACAAATGAAAGAAAAAGTGTCATTTTCCCTATAAAAAAAATTATATAAAAATTATATAACACAAATTTTTTTTTTTGAAAATAATATAACCCAATTTTTAATTTCCAATTTTGACGGACTATATTATGAATCTTAAACCCGTTTCAAAACTCGTCGTGAAGGAATTAAATTCTCAAGTTTTCAAAATGATACTAAGTTCCTCGCCGCATGTACACTTTTGAACACGAAGTTTTTACCACGACTAATTCATCAAAATTCCTCAATGATACATACGTTCTTAGTGGGGAAGTAGAATTAAACGTTTATTAGTCTATCACTTGAACTATCTCGCAAGATAATTGTTCTTTTTCCATTTTGTTGACAAGGGAAACTCACCTTATTGACATGCTCAACTAAGGGTGTGTTTGGTCCGCACATGGAAATTGAAATCGGAATGGTATTAAATACTTGTTAATGGTAATGAGTTTTAGTTAAAGTATTTTGCATGTTTGTAGTAGGGTAGAATGAGAATGATTATCAATAATACTATTTGGTTATGTATGATCCTATAATTGGAATAAAGATGTTAAAAATACAAAGACACAAAATCAAGACAATTGATTATAATATAAAGACATCCAAAACACCAATATGAACAAAAAAATAAAAGAAAAATCTAAAAGCACTAATCAAAGGGGATGAGAAGGAATAAGAGAATGAAAGGGGATGATACCCTATTTTATTTAGGTATGAATTTTTCAATTAATGGGTATTTGAAACCCAAAGTAGTGTTCTAAAAACAGATCAACCAAACAATACCAATCACTTTGATACCCATTCTTTAGAGCTAATCCTACCAACCAAACACACCCTAAAAAAGTTTTGACAATAATTAAATTCGTTATCTTTTGGTATAAGAATTATATATACTTCACTTAATTATCTCTTTTTGGCTAAATGAATGATTTGTACCATCTTAGTTAGGAAAATGTGTAATTTATAAAACACAACTCTCTTTGGGTGTTCAATTTTTATTGGGTGAAAAAAAAAAAGAATTAATAAAATTTAAATTTTATCTCATTTTTGATGATTTATGAAAAAGTTCACAACTGCTATAAAAAAAAAAAAGTATAGTTTAAAAGTTTATTTATTTTTCTAAATCAATTAAAGCATTACTGGTCAATAAGAAAGAAAAAAAAAAAGTCTATATAATATTACTTTTTTGGGAGTTCATCAAAACTCCATCTTGTATAGAAAAGTCAATATGATCATTACTTTGTTTCTTAATTGGGTCGAGTGGGTGTGAACATAAATTAGTCTAAATATGGTATAAGTTTAAAGAGGCAAATTATACCGTGCATCAGGGCGCACAATGCATTGTGCGTCCTGACCCAAAGCGACGTCGTTTTGTACCTTTTCTCGTGTTTGTTGTTAACTCCTTAAAAAATCATATTTCGAATGTACAGAATTGTATGATAGAAAACACAGAATTTTATACCTGAAAACAGATAATTTTATAACTGAATACAAATAATCTATTTTGAAAGGATAATACACATAATCTAACATAATACATAATATACATAAACTCTTAACATAATACACATAAACTCTTAACTCTTTTAAAAAATCCATGTTTAAAATGTACGGAATTATATAATAGAATGCACAGAATTATATAATAGAATGTACAGAATTATATAATAGAATGCACAGAATTTTATACTTGAAAACACATAATTTTATACCTGGAAACACAAGGAGAAGGTAAGATTCGTAGCACTGATCAATAAGAACAAATTCTTATGAGAGAAATAAGAACCAATATCAGTCTTACATCTAGAAAAATTATACGGATCAGATCAATTTTTTTAAAAAAAATAAAACATTGTGGTATTTTCGTAATTATCAATATTTTTACTATGCAAATTTGAACACTAACAAGGCGTTTGGTTGGAGGGATTTTAAATTCCCTTCCCACTTAATTCCCACCTAATTCCAAAGGCCATTAAATTCCGTAGTTTGGTTGGAGGGAATTACAATTCCATAGAATTGCAATTCCCCCATTTTCATGGAATTAAAATCCCATGTCCCCCCTGGTATTTTAATTCCTGGGAAAAAAAGATAGTGATGAGTCAAAATTACCCCTTCCATTTTTAACCTAAAATTAATGTCTAACAACAATAATTGACATTTTTGACTTTATACTACTTATTCCCTTTCAATTCCCATGTATACCAAACAGTGGAATTGAAATTTCCAGTAATTCTATTCCTATCAACCAAACACTGGAATTTAAATTCCCACTTTATTCCTAGTAATTCAACTCCCATGGAATTACAATTCCTTTCCCACATAATTCCCCCCCTCCAACCAAACGCCCTGTAAAATGTGCAATTCTCATACTTTTCTAGGTTTTCATATTTAGCATTAACATTTTGTACATTTAATATTAACATTTTGCATATTTAGTATTAAAATGTTGTACTTGCAAAAATTCAAAAATGCATTGCACTTAGGGTTTCGATTTTAGAATTTATAACTAAACATTTTTTATTTTATTTGATTTAATAGTTTACATTTTACGACTTAAGCTCTAACATTTACGATTTAGTCCTCGACTATAGTGGTTTTTCTCAATTTCGTCCTAAACGACTTTGGTGACCTAATATCGTCCCAGACTTTTGTGTTTTGCTCAATTTAGTCCTCCATTTATTATTTCGTCAAATTGGTGTTAAATAAAGGGACAATTCAATAATGTCAATATTGATCCCTCTTTACTTTCAACTTGTGAAGTGCGAAATTCCTCTTTCTTGTACGAATTACACCCAGAATTACTCCCGGACCTGCAAATTAAATTTTATATTCGCAGTTATAGGAGTAATTCTGGGAGTAATTCGTAAAAAAAAAAAAGGATTTCGCACTTCACATGTCTATGAGTAAAGAGATGCCAATATTAAAATTACTGAATTGTCTATTTATTTAACACCAAATGGACAGAATAACAAATGAGGGACTAAATTGAGCAAAAACACAAAAGTCTGGGACTAAATTGAGCGAAACACAAAAGTCTGGGACGATATTAGGTCACCAAAGTCGTTTAGGATGAAATTGAGAAAAACCACTATAGTCGAGGACGATTTTGGGTATTAACTCATTTAAAATTTAACATTTTCTTTGATTATATATATATATATATATATATATATATATATATATATATATATATATATATATATATATATATATATATATATATATATATATATTTATGCATGATTGATTGATTTGAGAATATGGCCCATAGGGAGATACTTTTACCATACAAAATACATCCAAAGACACAATGCGACAAAGATTCATAATTCAATGACATTAACCGGAGATTAATACTCAACCTTCAATTTTCTTTATCTTTAACACGCAAGAAGTATGATTAACCAGAACTCTTCCTTCATGCTCGCGCTATAAATATCGCGCTCGTCCAACTCCCTCCCAAGCTCAATCCTTTAAGTTTCAGCAACCTTCAGGTACGAATTCAGTTTCTTCCTTATCCTTCTAACGCAAAACATTCAATACTAAAATCTTGGAATTCTATTTTCTGGGAGGTTAAGGTTGGAGCAGAAGAATGAGGTTGGTGGTGGTGGGATTGTGGTGCTTGATCTTGGGGTTGATCTTGAATCCAACCCAGTTTTGCGATGCCGGAGTGACCAGTAGCTATGTGAGGAAGAGTCTATCGGCTTTCCCCAATGCTCAGGATGTTGATATGCCATGGGATAGCGATGTCTTTGCAATCCCCTCTGGTTACAATGCCGCCCAACAGGTTCCTCTTTGAAACCCCATTTTCTTTAAGGATTTTCTATGATGCTTTCTTGTTATTCTGCATTTCTTAGTAATATTCATCTCTGCAACAATTATTGAGCTTGAACTGAATGTTTGGTTGTCTTAGTGATGATAAAGTTGTAATCTTTAACTTAGTTTTGACAAAGATACTGTAATTTCCCCAAGGATCTTGGAGGATGTAATGTTTTAAGATATTTGTTATGCAAGTATTGATTTGGCTGCGTTTACTTCAATTCTTGGATTTTCGTTTCTTGAGGATGTAGTGTTCACTGCTGGAAATTCTGGAAATTCTGACCACCTGAAAGTGATATTAAATCAAGTTGAAAGCAAAAAGTGGTCGGAAATAGCAATAAAGGTTTTTTCGGATACCAAAAGTGGTCGGAACAAGGCTTTCGACTTGATTTAAGATCACTTTCAGGTGGTCGGAAATTCCATAATTTCCACAGTGGTTTAAGATATTTGTTATGTAAGTATTGATCAAGGTTGTGTTAACTTCAATTCTTGGATTTTTGTTTCTTGAGGATGTAATGTTTAGGATATTTGTTATGTAAGTATTGATTTGGCTGTGTTTACTTCAAGTCTTCCATTTTCAGTTCTTCAGTTCTCGTTTTCTCCAGTTTTCCAATCTCCATTCTCTGTGTCCAAATCGAAGTAATGCACAAGAATTTTATGTTTTCTTGTTTTTGGCAATGCCTTTGTGTGCTGAAATGGATTTGGGTTTTGAAGGTTCATATTACTCAAGGAGATTATGAAGGGAGGGGTGTGATAATCTCTTGGACCACACCTTATGATAAAACTGGGGCGAATACAGTGTATTATTGGACTGAGAATACCAAAGCTCAACAGAAGCGCGCTATGGGCAAGGTTGTGAGATACAAGTACTACAACTACACCTCGGCTTTTATTCATCATTGCACCATCAAGGATTTGGAGGTGCGTACGTGTAGTGGTTTTTACTTCGAGTTTTGAGTAGGATCGAAATCCCTTTTCAATTTTGTGTATAAATGGCAAGATCAGTAATGTGACAGTCCCGTTTTCTTGAAACTGCAGTATGATACGAAATACTATTACAGAGTAGGATTTGGGGACGCGAAACGCCAGTTCTGGTTTGTTACTCCTCCCAAACCTGGACCTGATGTGCCATATACATTTGGTCTGATAGGTATATATTATGTTCTTTCTGTAACATTTGCCTTATTTTGAGGGTCATATGGGCCAAACCACACTAAAAGATTGAATCTAACCAGTTGTTAGTCTAACCCATGGCCTTATAAAGTCATATGTTCTCTCTTATTTTATCAATGTGGACTCTTAACAATGTCATTGACAGGGGATATTGGTCAGACTCATGATTCCAACACCACATTGACACATTATGAGCAGAACCCGGCAAAAGGACAGGCAGTGTTGTTCGTTGGAGACCTCTCGTATGCAGATAGGTGGCCGAATCATGACAACAACCGGTGGGATACGTGGGGAAGGTTTTCAGAGCGAAGCGCTGCGTATCAGCCTTGGATTTGGACTGCAGGAAATCACGAGATTGATTATGCTCCTGAAATTGTACACTCTTCGTTCCACTTGCCTCATTGTGCAAATCACTTAGCTAGACTTGTAACAAATTTTTTGTTCTTTTTTGTGTTTTTTTGGGTTTCAGGGTGAGTACCAACCATTCATACCTTTTACAAAACGGTATCCTACACCACACGAAGCATCGGGGAGCGGTGATCCACTTTGGTACTCCATAAAACGAGCTTCTGCACATATCATTGTCCTGTCTTCTTACTCGGGCTTCGGTGAGAATCTATAGCTTCGAAATAGTACCGAGTTTCACTCATGCTGTAGAATTGTAAAATAGTACTAAGGTTTGGCTGTCTTTGTGTTTTTTTTTTTTTTTGGTAGCTAAATACTCTCCACAGTATAAATGGTTTACGAGTGAACTACAAAAAGTTAACAGGAGCGAGACGCCTTGGCTCATTGTGCTGGTGCACGCTCCATTATACAATAGCTATGAAGCTCACTACTTGGAAGGGGAAGGCATGCGTGCGATATTTGAGCCCTATTTCGTCTATTACAAAGTGGATGTCGTGTTTTCTGGACATGTTCACTCCTACGAACGATCTGTAAGTATATTCATCACAAAGCTTATTTAGTTAAATCATAGTAAACTGTCATATGTTGTTCAATTTTCAGAGCCCGAGCTAGAAATGGAAGCAGATGAATTGAAGCATGTGTTCCATCTCAACTAAAAGTCTGAGCTGATAGTTAGATTGCACATTTATATTTATATATATTATATGCTCATCGAGATTGCTTCACAGGAACGCGTATCGAATGTTGCATACAACATTGTGAATGCAAAGTGCACGCCTGTGAGGGATGAATCAGCCCCGGTTTACATTACCATAGGCGACGGGGGAAATTCAGAAGGATTAGCCTCGGAGTATGTTAACATATATATACAGAAATGTGTGTTAGAATGCATAAACTGACAGCAGGCCTTAGTTCTCGGGTTTTTCTCGTGTGTGCAGGATGACACAGCCACAGCCAAGCTACTCTGCGTTTCGCGAGGCGAGCTTTGGGCATGGCATATTCGACATAAAGAACAGAACCCATGCCTATTTCTCGTGGCATCGCAACCAAGATGGGGCCTCGGTTGAGGCTGATTCCGTGTGGCTTCTTAACCGGTACTGGGCGTCCAAGGATGCATCATCTGTGTCTGCAATGTGAAACCATTCATGAACTTTGATGTTGTTTGTGTTGGTTAATGTATGTATGGTTCTTGTTGGTTGGTTGGTTGTATTGATCTTCTTCTGTAGCTCTGTGGAGAAGCTTTGTGTTCCATTAGAGAATAAAGGGATCTTAGCAACTGCTGTAGAATCTGTAGTTCCTATTAATAAACTTGCAATTATGTATTATTACACAATTTGTAACTAACAACAATAACTATCATGTCTTGGGGTGATCTGGGTGGAGTATGATTCTCATACCAAAAAGGGAAAAAGTCATGAGTACAATTCTTACCAAAACCTTATTAATCGAGTCCGTCTTGAATTGCGGGCTATTACACGTGGAGTTTACTAGTGCACACTTTGAGTTTAATTCTTGTCAACACATTTTCAGTCGAAAAGTTTACTATTATACATTCTCAGATAATGATTGTGGATTTTTTCGTCATCTAAAAAGAAACAATAAGGGGGTGTTTGGTTGGAAGTAAGGAATTAGGGGAGGGGGGGGGGAATGAATTGTAAATCGGTGGGGAAAAGAATTAGGTGAAAATAAAGTAAGAATTCAAATTACAGTGTTTAATATGCAGGTGGGAATAAAGTATGAATTCAAATTACAGTGTTTGGTATGCACTAATAAGGCATGGAATTGAAAGAGAATAAGTGATAAAATGACTGAAATGCCCTTATGTAATAATAATAATAATAATAATAATAATAATAATAATAATAATAATAATAATAATAATAATAATAATAATAATAATAATAATAAGAAGAAGAAGAGAAGATCCTTTCAAAAAAAATAATAAGAGACGAATTGTAATTAGAGGGCAAGAAGGAAGAAGGAAGGAGGGTAATAAGACAAAATTTTGTCTTATTAGGAGGGTAAAATGGTCATTAAACAATCTTTTCTTCTCCCTTCAAATCGCCGAATTGTAATTCTTGAGAGGGAGAGGGGAGGGGGTCTGAATTAGAATTCAGCATTTGGAGGGAATTGCAATTCCACCGAATTGCAATTCCCTCTAACCAAACAGCGTAATTGGACCTTCCACATAATTGCAATTCAATTATACCCAAATTACATCCAACCAAACACCTCCTAATTACCATGCACATTTGATTAGTTTTAATGGAATCTGATGCCAAATTAAGTTTGAGATTAAGTTCTATAGTGTCTAGTTTGTGAACATTAAGCTTTGAGTTTTTAGAAACAAAGTCTACGATATTTTTTGCAATAAATTCTAGAAACATAATTGATCAAATATAAAACTGATAGATTATATACAAAAATATTGTTTACAAAAAATTAATTCCCAAAAATTGGAAGCCTTGTGCATGCTATCGTCCTGTGTTAAATAATAATTGTGATTTCTTTTCTAGCCAATCCACGCAAGTCACATTCATTAGCCAAGAATAAAAGTACAATAAAATAAAAATATTAATTTTCAAATTAAAAATATTAAAAAAATATATGCCATGTGAACAAGATACACATAACACTATAGCACATTAATCAAGATCGCGCGCGTAACATATTTTAATTCAGAAATCGTATCATTTTCTATGGATACAATCATACAAAGTACTCCCAGGAATAAACTAATAATTCTCGTTTCGCATGAGCTAAAATAATAATTATAAATTTTTATTGATTTTTGAGAAAATATGTATGGACAGATGCTACATGAGTCAGTAGAACTCAAAAAAAATTATTATATAATTAAATTTGTGCATGCATGTATTGTAATTATTTTTTTAGAGGTGGATAAAATAATACTCTTTCCGTCTCATTTTATTAGTCTGTTTCGGTTAACAAGTTTGACTAGACTAATTCTAAACTCCCATAACTCTTGCCTAAAAATATCTAGAGAAGGTAAATTGCAATCACATCGTCACTCATGTATGTTGTTGTAAAAAAATTTTAACGTGATCAATTAAACTAATTGTGTTAGCCTCAAAGATAAATTTTGAGATATGATAACAAAATATGAAATATAATCGGACAACTTTAGCCAAATTGGTGAGATAGTTGGTGCAATTTGAGCTGACTTATCTCAAGAAGTGGGAGCTAAGCATCAAAGCTCATGCTATAAATTTCAGGCAAGGGTGTAGTTTCTTTCTGTCTTGTTCATCCTAAAACCTTAGAAATTTTCTTGTACCACCATCGTGTTTGGTCTTCTGGGACGTTAACGTTGGAGCCTCGTTGCAACCCAGAATAATACTACAACGCACATGATGCTTGGACTGGTGTGCTTAATCTTGGGTTTGATCTTGAACACATCTCAGCTGTGCAATGGTGGATTGACCAGTAGCTATGTGAGGAACAGTCTATCGGCTGCGCCCAATCCTGAAGATGTTGATATGCCTTTGGATAGTGATGTGTTTAGGGTCCCCCATGGTTCCAATGCCCCCCAACAGGTCGTGTTTTGTTTCCCCCATTTTCTTCTCTTTAAAGATTTGATTTTTAGGTATTATTTGGCTAATATCCATGGAGATTTTGATGTTTCTTGGCTGAAATATATTATAGCATGATGGCTCACTAGTTTAATGTTCCAATGTTCATCTCTGTGACAATTATTGAGTTCTTGAACTGTGTAATGGCTTTCACATAATAGGTTGGAGACTCAAACTGAACTAGCTTTGCTTTAGTGTTTATCATTGGTACTAGCTTTTATGGTAGAGTTAGGACGTTAACTTTAGTGCCTATTATTGGTGCTTTTATGGAATAGTTTAGAGCCATCCAAAGGAGAGAAGGCTACTTGGGGCCAAGATGAGTCCAAGTCAAGGGGTGAGTAGTTATACGAACCTATGGACTTTTTGATTTACAGGAAAGTCCGATCCACAGCTACTACTCTAAGGTGCGCTTATGAAGCTTACCTTGTGATCTTATCCGGCAAAGAACTACAATAAGGTAAACCAGTTTAGGTTACTCATAGTTGATCGGCTTAAACTAAGAAGGCTAATAAGCAGCTCCCATAAAGAGTCAAACACTTGGAACCTTATGGTTACCATGTCAACTGTTCAAACCTATGGACTTTTTGATTTACAGGAAAGTCCACAGCTACTATTCTAAGGTGCCCTCTGGATGAAGCTTACGTTGTGACCTTATCTGAAAAATGACCACAAGGAGGTAAACCAATTTAGGTTACTCATAGTTGATTGGCTCAAACCAAGAAGGCTAATAGATAGCTCCCATAAAGAATCAAACACTTAGAACCTTATGGTTACCATGCTAACTGTCCGACCAACTCTATTGGGGTTGCCCAATCCATGGACTTTTTAGGAATGAGAGAATCATACTTAAGTACTTGACTTGAGTGCCTATCACTGTACCTATTGAGCTTATTAGTTATCTGCTTATATCAAACTGTTATGTGATTGGTTTCTTTTAGCATCAATTGCATAGAAGATACTTGTATATATATTGCCCATCAAAGAAACTGGTTTGAGCATTAGAAAAGAGGATTCTTGGAGAAGATAGTGTTCAATATATTTGTTACATCTGTGCCCTTTTGTGCTGAAATGGATTTTGGTGGTCTGCTAGGTTCATATAACACAAGGGGATTATGAAGGGAAGGGTGTGATTATCTCTTGGACCACACCATATAAACCTGGCTCGAACGCAGTGCTTTACTGGGCTGAGAATAGCAGAGCTAAGAGAATCGCAGTTGGCGATGTTGTAACCTACAAGTATTACAACTACACCTCGGGTTATATTCATCACTGCACCATCAAGGATTTAGAGGTTTTCACTTCAAATATTGCATAGGATTTCTTATGACTGGTGTGTATAATAGATTAATATCACTAAACTATCGCTATTCTCTTATAACTGCAGCATGATACAAAATACTATTACGAATTAGGGTCGGGGAATGCAAACCGGGTGTTTTGGTTTGTTACTCCTCCCAAACCGGGGCCTGATGTTCCATATACATTTGGTTTGATAGGTATGTTTAAGTGTATCTTGCTGAAGCATCATATGACAGAGATGTTTGCCTAAGTTTATATTGAAAACGAGGTATATGTTTAATGTTCCTAACAGGGGATATTGGTCAGACTTATGATTCCAACACCACATTGACACATTATGAACAGAACCCGGCAAAAGGACAGGCAGTGTTGTTTGTTGGTGACCTCTCGTATGCAGATAGGTACCCGAATCATGACAACAACCGGTGGGATACGTGGGGGAGGTTTTCAGAGCGAAGCGTTGCTTATCAGCCTTGGATTTGGACTGCGGGGAATCACGAGATTGATTATGCTCCTGATATTGTACACTCTTGGTTCTTCCACTACCTACTTGCCTAATTATGCAAATCACTTAGCTAGACTTGAAACAAAGTTTTTGCCTTTTTTCTTTTCGGGTTTCAGGGTGAATATCAACCTTTCATACCTTTTACAAACCGATATCCTACTCCATTTGAAGCATCGGGGAGCGGTGATCCACTTTGGTACGCCATAAAACGAGCTTCTGCACATATCATTGTCCTGTCTTCTTACTCAGGCTTCGGTGAGAATCTATAGCTTTGAAATAGTACCGAGTTTCACTGTAGAATTGTAAAATAGTACTAAGGTTTGGTTGTCTTTTGTGTGTTTTTTTTTTGGTAGCTAAATACTCTCCACAGTATAAATGGTTTACGAGTGAACTAAAAAAAGTTAACAGGAGCGAGACGCCTTGGCTCATTGTGATGGTGCACGCTCCATTATACAATAGCTATGAAGCTCACTACTTGGAAGGGGAAGGCATGCGTGTGATATTTGAGCCATATTTTGTCCAGTACAAAGTGGATGTCGTGTTTTCTGGACATGTTCACTCCTACGAACGATCTGTAAGTATTCATCACAATTGAAACATGTGCTCCATCTCAACTAAAAGTCTAAGCTGATAGTTGGATTGCTATATGCTCAACAATCACAACGCTGATTTAGCTCATCATGGTAAACTGTCTTGTGCTGTTTAGTACTAATCAGACAAATCTTGTTTGGTTCACAGGAACGCATATCGAACGTTGCATACAACATTGTAAATGCAGAGTGCACGCCTGTAAGCGACGAATCGGCTCCTGTTTACATTACCATAGGCGACGGGGGAAACTCAGAAGGATTAGCCACCGAGTATGTTAAGATATACATACAGCAATAATAATGTGTTTATAATAAAATGCAGAAATTGAGAGTAGGCCTTACTTGTGAGCATTTTCGGTTTTATTTGTGTGTGCAGGATGACACAGCCACAGCCAAGCTACTCTGCATTTCGCGAGGCGAGCTTTGGGCATGGAATATTCGACATAAAGAACAGAACTCATGCCTATTTCTCGTGGCATTGCAACCAAGATGGGGCCTCGGTTGAGGCTGATTCCCTGTGGTTTCTTAACAGGTACTGGGCTTCCAAGAATGCATCATCTGTGTCTTCTGCAAGGTGAAATCATTCATGAAGTAAATAAGGTTGCTGTTTGTTTTGGTTGGTTTAAGATTGTTGTTTGGCTGTTTGGTTCTCCTAGAGATATTCATTCCCAATAATGCTTCTTCTGTAACATACCTCTGAGGAGAAGCCTGATGCCTATACTGGTTTATGTAACTCCTTATCCTATATTAGAAAAACAAATAAATTCATCGTCAGCATTATTGAGAATGCCGGTGTGCATAAGGAATCTGTCCACTTTAGACATAATGAGGTTCTTTAACTCTAGGCTTGCTCCAATCACTCTATGCATCAATTCTTTATCTTGGGATAGCTTAAAAACACTATCTAAAGTATTAAAACCATCCAAAATAAACATTAGACTATCAAACTTATCAAATGTAACGATTTAATCCAATTTAACAACAACATAAAATTATATAGGGCATGTCAAAAATACTATTAATTAAATAATGTCACAGTTTATGTATCAAACAATAACGGGTGTGCGCCTAGTGTAATTTTCTTCCGTGGTTGTCCATGTATAATTAGTTTCAGAAAATGTCGTTGGTTCAATCTCCAACAATCTTTTGCCCTCAAAATTCTTTGTCTCGTATGAAGTTGTGCCAAATTTAACCTTTTCTAGTTCTGATACCACTTCTTTCATGGTCGATCTCTTTTTCCCATTCAAGTCCAAGCATCTCTTACCAAGGTCCATGAGATCTTCCTTTTTGCCTTGTTCCAACACTTGTTTGTCAAGAATCTTGAAGAGTCGATTCCCTTCCATAGCCGAAAGGAATCGTGTGACAAGACTTCTGTCTTCTTCATTTGTCGCAAAAGAAATTGCCTTGTTTCCCGTCATAAGTTCAACCAATATGACTCCGAAACTATAGACATAACTCTTTTCAGTGAACTGACTGAAATGAAAATACTCAAGATCCAAGTAGCCAAATGTTCCTTTCACTTGAGTAGTGACATGAGTTTGATCAATGGCAATGGACTTCAAAGTTCCAAAATCCGACACTTTAGCTCGGTACTTCTCGTCAAGAAGGATATTGCTAGACTTGATGTCGCAATGTAAGATTGGAATGGAAGACGACGAATGCAGATAAGCCAAAGCATCGCTACCTCTGTTGGATTTTTAGCCGCATCTCCCACGAGAAGGGAAACTCATCGTTAAGGTTGTCGCTATGAATCAAGCTGAAAAGTGTACCGTTGGTTATAAATTCATAAACCAGGAGCGGAACTTCTGTCTCGAGACAACACCCTAGCAGTTTCACCACAGTCCTATGATTAACCCTTAAAAGAATGACAACTTCATTGATGAATTCTTCGATTTTGCTTTCATCAACCCGGGCAGATTTCTTAACAGCAACAATCGTGACATCTACTAACATGCCCTTATACACTGTTCCTTGACCTCCTCGACCTAGGATCAGTGGCCTTTCCAGTTCCAATTTGTGGCATGAGTCTTTCTAGTGCGGTTTATCTTTTGTGATCTATGAAGTTTATCCAATGCAGGGGTGAAAAATTAAAGTATTTTAGCTTATGTTAAACTAAACCTAAACTCTCATAACTCTGGCTTAAAAACATTTAGAGGAGGTAAATCTCAAACCACTCTGTCACTCCTGCATGTTACTGGAGCAAAATTTTAAACTAATCAGTCATACTAATTGAGTTAGCCTTAGGGACAAATTTTGAGATATGATGACAAAATTTTAATGACAAAATATGAAACATAACGGGACAACTTTAGCCAAACAGGTTATATAGCTAGTGCAATTTAAGTTGACTTATCTCCAGAAGTGGGAGCTAAGCATCAAAGCTCATGCTATAAATTCCATTTCGTCCAACCCGTCGTACATTCAATATCTTGGGTTAAAGACAGAAATAGGAATAATTTTGAAATAAATGATAAAAATGAGAAGGTTTTAAAAAGTGAACAATTTCTGAAAAATTTTATTTGAGATATGCATTTCTTGTCAGAAACGCAAGTCCCAAATGAGTTTCTTGAAATTTTAGAAAACATTTTTTTTATGGTTGGTCAACGTGAAATTTCTTTTCACAAATGGATGACCAGCTTTTAGATGCCACATGCCACTTCCCCATTAAATAATACTATTTGTATTCTCATTTTTTACTCTCAATTTTTACTTTCACACACAAAATTTTATATAGACATATGTATTAGAACTCAGGAACGAAGCCAGAAATTTGGTTGAGGAGGGAAGCAGTAGGCCGGGACAAGTGTAAGCCATGCATGATTTGCAAGCTATGCTGGCGCTTTCTAATGTAGACATGCACACACACACAGAGATCACTTACGCTTCAATTTCATCCTAAAACCTTGAAATTTTCTTATACCAACATCGTGTTTGGTCTTCTGGGACGTTAACGTTGGAGCCTCGTTGCAACCCAGAAGAATACTACAACGCACATGATGCTTGGACTGGTGTGCTTAATCTTGGGTTTGATCTTGAACACAACTCAGCTGTGCGATGGTGGAGTGACCAGTAGCTATGTGAGGAACAGTCTATCGGCTTCGCCCAATCCTGAAGATGTTGATATGCCTTTGGATAGTGATGTGTTTAGGGTCCCCCATGGTTCCAATGCACCCCAACAGGTTGTGTTCTGTTTCCCCCATTTTCTTCTCTTTAAAGATTTGATTTTTAGGTATTGTTTGGTTAATATCATGGAGATTTTGATGTTTCTTGGCTGAAATATATTATAGCTAGCATGATTTGGGCTCACTAGTTTAATGTTCCAATGTTCATCTCTGTGACAATTATTGAGTTCTTGAACTGTGTAATGGCTTTCACATAGTAGGTTGGAGACTCGAACTTAACTAGCTTTGCTTTAGTGTGTATCATTGGTACTAACTTTTATGGTGGAGTTAGTACCTTAACTTTAGTGCCATCCAAAGGAGAAAAGGCTACTTGGTGCCAAGATGAGTCCAGGTCAAGGGGTGAGTAGTGATACGAACCTATGGACTTTTTGATTTACAAGAAAGTCCACAACTACTACTCTAAGGTGCGCGCACCTTGTGATCTTATCCGATAAAGGACTACAATGAGGTAAACCAATTTAGGTTACTCATAGTTGATCGGCTTAAACTAAGAAGGCTAATAAGCAGCTCCCATAAAGAGTCAAACACTTGGAACCTTATGGTTGGCACTTATGGTTACCATGCCAACTGTTCGAACCTATGGACTTTTTGATGTACAGGAAAGTTCACAGCTACTACTCTAAGGTGCGCTTATGAATCTTACCTTGTGACCTTATCCGACAAAGGAACAAGGAGGTACACCAGTTTAGGTTACTCATAGTTGATCGGTTCAACCAAGAAGGCTAATAGGCAGCTCCCATAAAGAGTCAAACACTTGGAACCTTATGGTTACCATGTCAACTATTCGACCAACTCTGTTGGGGTCGCCCAACCCATGGAGTACTTGACTTGAGTGCCTATCACTGTACCTACTGAGCTTATAGTTATTTGCTTATATCAAACTGTTATGTGATTGGTTTCTTTTAGTATCAATTGCATAGAAGATACTTGTAGATATATTGCCCATCCAAGAAACTGGTTTGAGCATTAGAAAAGAGGATTCTTGGAGAAGATAGTGTTGAAGATATTTGTTACATATGTGCCCTTTTGTGCTAAAATGGATTTTGGTGGTCTGCTAGGTTCATATAACGCAAGGGGATTATGAAGGGAAGGGTGTGATTATCTCTTGGACCACACATAAACATGGCTCAAAAGCAGTGCATTACTGGGCTGAGAATAGCAGAGCTAAGAGATTCTCGGTTGGCGCTGTTGTAACCTACAAGTATTACAACTACACCTCGGATTATATTCATCACTGCACCATCAAGGATTTAGAGGTTTTCACTTCAAATATTGCATAGGATTTCTTATGACTGGTGTGTATAGTATAGATATATGGAATGACAATATCTGCCATTCTCTTATAACTGCAGCATGATACAAAATACTATTACAAATTAGGGTCAGGGCATGCAAAACGGGTGTTTTGGTTTGTTACTCCTCCCAAACCGGGGCCTGATGTTCCATATACATTTGGTTTGATAGGTATGTTTAACTCAATGCTGAAAATTATTGAATTTCCGACCACTTGAAAGTGATCTTAAATCAAATCGAAAGCAAAAAGTGGTCAGGAATAGCAACAAAGGTTTTTCCGGATACCAAAAGTGGTCGGAACAAGACTTTTGACTTGATTTAAGATCAATTTCAGGTGGTCGGAAATTCCATAATTTCCAGTAATGACTGTATCTTGCTGAACATCATATGACAGAGATGTTTGCCTAAGTTTATATTGAACTCGAGCCCTCGAGGTATATGCTTAATGTTCCTTACAGGGGATCTTGGTCAGACTTATGATTCCAACACCACATTGACACATTATGAACAGAACCCAGCAAAAGGACAGGCAGTGTTGTTTGTTGGTGACCTCTCGTATGCAGATAGGTACCCGAATCATGACAACAACCGGTGGGATACGTGGGGGAGGTTTTCAGAGCGAAGCGTTGCTTATCAGCCTTGGATTTGGATTGCAGGAAATCACGAGATTGATTATGCTCCTCAAATTGTACAGTCTTGGTTCCACTTGCCTAATTGTTCAAATCACTTAGCTAGACTTGAAACAAATTAAAGTTTTTGCCTTTTTCTTTTTGGGGTTTCAGGGTGAATATCAACCTTTCGTACCTTTTACAAACCGATATCCTACTCCATTTGAAGCATCGGGGAGCGGTGATCCACTTTGGTACTCCATAAAACGAGCTTCTGCACATATCATTGTCCTGTCTTCTTACTCAGGCTTCTGTGAGAATCGAATCTATAGCTTTGCACTAGTACCGAGTTTCACTGCTGCTGTAAAATTGTGAAATAGTACTAAGGTTTGGTTGTCTTTGTGTTTTTTTGTTTTTTTTTTTTTTTTTTGGTAGCTAAATACACTCCACAGTATAGATGGTTTACGAGTGAACTAAAAAAAGTTAAAAGGAACGAGACGCCTTGGCTCATTGTGCTGGTGCACGCTCCATTGTATAACAGTTACGAAGCTCACTACTTGGAAGGGGAAGGCATGCGTGTGATATTTGAGCCATATTTTGTCCAGTACAAAGTGGATGTCGTGTTTTCTGGACATGTTCACTCCTACGAACGATCTGTAAGTATTCATCTCAATTGAAACATGTGCTCCATCTCAACTAAAAGTCTAAGCTGATAGTTAGATTGCTATATGCTTAACAATCACAACGCTTATTTAGCTCATCATGGTAAACTGTCTTGTGCTGTTTAGTACTAATCAGACAAATCTGAGCTAGAAGTGAAAGTAGGTGAAGGGTTTATTTGTTTCATGGCATCATATCACTTGTTTGGTTCACAGGAACGCATATCGAACGTTGCATACAACATTGTGAATGCACAGTGCACGCCTGTAAGCGACGAATCAGCTCCTGTTTACATTACCATAGGCGACGGGGGAAACTCAGAAGGATTAGCCACCGAGTATGTTAAGATATACATACAGCAATAATGTGTTTATAATAAAATGCAGAAACTGAGCATTTTCGGTTTTATTTGTGTGTGCAGGATGACACAGCCACAGCCAAGCTACTCTGCATTTCGCGAGGCGAGCTTTGGGCATGGCATATTCGACATAAAGAACAGAACCCATGCTTATTTTGGCTGGCATCGCAACCAAGATGGAGTCGCGGTTGAAGCTGATTCCTTGTGGCTTCTTAACAGACACTGGGCTTAATTCCAAGAATGCATCATCTAAGTAAGGTTGTTGTTTGTTTTGGTTGATTTAAGATTGTTGTTGGCTGTTTGGTTCTCCTAGAGATCTTCATTCCCAATAATGCTTCTTCTGTAACATACCTCTGAGGAGAAGCCTGATACCTATATTAGAAAATTAAATAAATTCATCGTCAGCATTAGTAGTGGGAATGCCGGTGTGCATAAGGGATCTGTCCACTTTGGGCGTAGCGAATTATGTTCTTCAACTCTAGGCTTGCTCCAATCACTCAATGCATCAATTCTTTATCTTGGGATATCTTAAAAACACTATCTAATGTATTAAAAACCATCCAAAACAAACATTAGAATATCAAACTTATCAAATGTAACGATTTAATCCAATCTTATCTTAATTATAATATAGCCATATGGTTTGGTGAGCAATTATTGTTACAAGGAATAAGGTTCAAATTGGCCACTGAACGTAATCTGAAAATGCAATTAGGCCACTGAACGAAAAAAAAAAGTGCAATTAGGCCACTGAACACTCCAAAAACGTGCAATTAGGCCACTGAACTCTTCAAACGTATGCAATTTCACCGGATAGCAGGTTACCATCAATTTTAGCAGGTTACCTGCTTA